TAGAGTCATTTGGGGTAAATGTGCGCAGTGGGTAAGAGTGCGCAATCCCATGTATTTGGGACTCAAATGAATGGGTTTGCGCACGCTTATATATATACCCACTGCGCACATTTACCCCAAATGACTCTACTAGCGTTCGAGATATTACAAAAACAAAATTGAAAAACTGGAAAAATCGCGAAATTTTGAGTTTGCATATCTTTTGAAAAAAATTTTTTTATTTTTTTTCCTTTGGCAGAACTTCGTTATATGATAAAAGAAAACTTCTGACCAAAATTCGTCCAAATCGAAAGGGGTCGATTCCAACTATTGGTCGATTTGACATGGAATGACCCATATATAGATTCTCCAAAAATTTCAAACTGATCTGGCAAATATTCTCGAAGATAAATAGATATTTGTAAGGATGCCTCTGAGCATTCAAAAGGTGGAGCGTAAAAAAATGCGAAAAATAATATTTTCAGTCTGTGAGCACGATTTTTCCAAAACGGCTTGATCGATCGATTTTAAATTCTTAGACATTTTCTCCAAATATTAATCGAAGAAATAAAATTTCTGACAATCATTTCGATTTTTAAAACCTATTGAAGTTGAAAATTTTTTCAAAAATCGCAACTTCGTTTTTAGGAAGCCGTCATTTAGTAAAAAATCGAAATTTTAACTAGCCTCTCGATTAATACCTGCATTTATCTATCTACTAAATAAATTTCATAAAATTTTTCATTTTATATAATCCAAACCAGAGATATCATGCTCACTGTCGGACACCTTTTTATGGAAGACCTATAAGAAATCTAAAGAGTCTACAGGAGCAGTACAATATAATATTTTTAAAAACGAACAATGGGGTTTTAAAATAAGAAAAATTCATTACATATACATGTTTTTCTTATGTATTTTTAAATGAAATATCTTTTCAGAAAAAATTCACACAAAAACACATTTCTTCTGCTGTTGTCGTTGTAGAGCATATTTATAAACAATGTAGAGTAATATTTATAATAATAAAAAATTAATATATAATATTCTTTTATTTCTATAAATATATGTATAAAAAATTTCATTACAAAAATTATCGCGTTAAATAGGCACTGAATAAGCACACAAGCTTTTTATAATAGTTAATTTTAAATTTAATAATAATTAATAATAACAATAATTGTAATCAATAATTACAAAAATTGATTACTCATTACATCAATAAATTTATTATCAATTATTATTAATTCAATAACTTAATACTATTGTTAATAAAAGTGATGCTATCTAAAACTCGTATAAATTATCATCTTATTTATTTACACATAAATCTACAACAGGGAATCTCATAATTATTTTTATTAATATTTACTATTTCAACAATTATATACTGTAACAATTGTATATTTCGTCCAATTGATATGTTACTATTTTATTTATCAATTAATTTGTGATTAATAATTTATAACATATAAAAGTTAATTATGAAAAATATATATATTAAATAATTATAATAAAATATATTATTTAATTGTAATATGTAATTAAATTTTTTTTATTCAGAAAAAAAATTTAATTATGATAAAAATTTAATAAAAAAATTACAAATAATTGAAACCTGTTTCTTAGTATGAAAGTTTAACATTTAAATCAAAAATAATTTTTTATCGTAAGTTTCAATTATTTTATACAGTATGAAATTCAATTCCCTGTGGCAGTTATTGAATTTGGCTTTATCATTCAAATTTATACTTTTAATTACAAAAAAACAAAAAACGAATTATCACCTAATTTTTTTTTACGATAATATAAATGTATCAGTCAATAGTGAACAAGAAGTTGTTAAGTTAATTAGTACATTATTTAAATTAATAAATGAATTTATTAATTTAATTAATTATTTTTTAAACTCTAATAATAAATATCTTTATAAAAAAAGAGCGATAATAATAATAATAATATTTATAACTGTTGATATAACTATATCATGTTAAATTTTTTTTAGCATAATTGGACCGTGTGAAACCGGGAGCTGGAATCCGAGATGCTGGTCGCGGTATGCCGCTCAATGCTCTGGCTGATGGTGGACGTATTCCGGATTTCATTTCTGGTTTCTCGGGACTTTTTATTAATTTCTCGATACTCTGAAATATTTATACAATTATTTAATCTTAAATATTATTAACAGACTATAATTAGTAATAAACTAGCAACCTGCAGACACTTTGCGATTGCCAAGATTTACGAATTATGAATAAAAAAACTTTGGCTTGATGATTTTTTTATATTTATAATCACACAAGTAGTTTGGGTACTTTTGAAATGTTTGAAAAATAAGAGTGTTATTGTATGATCAATTACGAATAATTTAATGGACAAATGTAACGGGATAAATTTATAGAACTAAAAAACTATTCAAAACTAAAAACTTAAGATAGTTGTCGTGGTTAAAGCATACCGTCAGAAAATTCTAAATTTTTGTATACTTATTAAGGACATTATGATAAAATTATTCTTAAAATTTGAAGTCGATTGACCACCTATAACCCGAGATGAATTCAATTAAAAATTGGATATTTAACATTAATTGCATACGCTCTCTGCAGTTCTGTATCAGTTTCTTAGTTATAATTGTTATAAAAAAAAAAAACTAACTATCAGAAACTTTCAAAAAACTGACAGTCTTTTAATGTATTTGTTGTGAATTAAAAAAAAATAAAAAAAAATTTTTGACTGCCTAATTATTATAAACAACGGATTAAAGTTCAACAATTTATGAAAAAGTATATATCTACGGAGTCGGACAAAAATACTGTATGGGTTACATCACGGGTAGTTTTGCGTAAAAATTATAGATTACTTAGCTACAAGCTCATATACTTTTTTGGCGATTATAATCTTTAATTTTTTGACAATATTGTATTAAGACAACTCGGCTGCCCAATTTTAAAACACAGTAACTAACATTTAGAAATTTTTTTTAATTTTTCTTATTAAAAAAAAGTTTGCCTACCAAACTGATGAAAAATTTGATTTATGAATAGAAAATACTTGAATATAAATATTTTTAAGAAAAAATACTTGAAATTAAAGTCTAAAAGTTATAAAAAATGCAGTAATATTAAAAAAAAAAATAGGTATAAAAATTTTGCAGTTATTGTGTTTTAAAATTGGACAGTCGTAACTACCTTAACATAAAAAATTTACCATCACTGAAAAATATGTATAACCGTGACACGGCACAAATTCTTATCAATACCTTTTTGATAATACCAAATTTATAAAAATTCCTTTTAAAATAATAATATGCTCGTTACAAAATTTTCCTTTCTCTTTCAATTATTTAAACCATAAATGACTATCACTAAAAAAATATCAAACCCAATTCACGATAAAGATATAAAAAATTTTCCTTATTTTCTTAATTATATAGATGATACATTTGCATTATTATGTAAAGAATTTGAAAAAAATTTGGAATAATTGTAGTTTGTTATCTGTTTGATCATTCCCGATAGAAAAATTAGTCAACAAATTATTATAATTACAAGATTTTTTGAAGCATTAAAATTGATGTTTTATTGTTATATTTGAAAATTTAAATATTATTGAACATTTTCATGTTTTCATTATAATGACTGTAAGTTTGTCTTTAATAGCTGAAAAAGTAGAAATAAATCTAAATACATTCCTACACTAAAAGTGAAAAAAAAATGTCTTCAAAAAAGTCATATTTAGTTGTAATGAAATATTATCATTTGTTACCTAATGAGCTTACGATTGTCAATCAATAAAAATTCTATGAAGCAAAAGCCAAAATCCTGGTTAGTTAATATTGAGTAATTGTAGTACTGGATTCATCTTCATATTAAATATGTTATTTTTTCTATTGAACCATAGTATTCTCATCTATTTTATCTCCTATTTGATGTTTATATTAATTTCTTGCATCACAATTTGTAATATTTTTTTTTTTGTTTTATATTTAATATTTATTCAACTCGAATGATACTCAACAAATATTAAATATTATGAAAGAGTAAATTTAATGTATGTATTAATTTATTGCATCACAATTTGTATAATTTTATTTTTCTTTTATTAAATTTAATATTTATTCAACTCAAATGATACTCCACAAAAATTAAATGTTATGAAAGAGTATTTTCCAGGTCTATGTACAAGTGAAGACACCTGTACAGATGCATGCTTATGTAATGTATGTTAGTATGTATGGATATATTTTTATAAATTCTAGTAATAAATAAATAAATTTTGCCGAGAACTAAAAAAAAGTTTGCGGACCTAGACACAAAAATTTTAATTTTTTGAAATTGAACATTCCTAACAATTTTAAGTTTTTTACAAATTGAATGTTGACATATTCGCTTGGGAAAAGATAAAAGGGCGCATTGCTACAGATTAGTAAGGATCCACGCTAAAAGGGCGTACAAAGAATTTTTGCAATTTGTTTTAAAATCTTTCAAAACACGAACATCTTTAAAAATAAAAATTCTAGCATCCTAATTCTTATACGCAAGACATGCAATCTTTTAGCTTTTAGAAAAGTAGTGCTTGAAGCTAAAAGCGCGTATAAAAAAATTTAAGTTTTAATACAAAATGTTGACAAATAGTTTCACAAGATAAGTTAGATTCAAAGAACAGTCAAGTATACTAAGCTCAATTAAGGTAAAAGACCCCATTAGCGGCACTTTTAACCCCTACTAGTGGCACTTTTTCTTTCAATAAAAAAATGTTCTACTTGGAATAAAAATTAAAAATTTTCTTGATCTAAAGGTCTTAAAGATTAGAAATAATATATTCATTATTGAAATTAATGATTTCATTAATTAAATAAGTACCAAAATCAAAAAAAGTGTCAGTAATGGGGTCCCCACCACTAATGGGATCTTTTACCCTATTCCAAACAAAAAAAAAAAAAAAGCAAAACGAAAACAATTGTTTAGTTTCGCAGTTACTCAGTTTCTAAATTGTTATGCCACTGTAGATTTTTCTTATTCTTTTAAAGTTATCTTTTAAAATTGCTGACGGTGATGTTCATGCGCCAACGTCTGGACAGAGCACACCATATTACCAGTTTATTCCCGTGGCGTAATAATACTTTAAACTGCATGTATCTTCTTTAACACCTTTTTAATCAGTTACAGAATGGTACTCACAGAATACACTACGAATTGCTATGCATTTCTAGTTACAGAAAACATTTAAGAAAAAATTATAGAATTGTAATTGAAGATCTTACTTTCATTTTATGTTATAAAATTAACTCCAGAATAAATTCTAACAATTAGTTAGAATTTAACAGTTAACAATTAGTTTTCCAATTGAAGTGCAACTTTAAGTTATCAAATAAAAAATTAAATGTGACTATAGTTTAGACATTAAAAATTGTGTAAGTTACTTAGAAAAAAATTGAACCTTTCTCCCAAGGCATAACAAAATATAAAATTCACACGACTAAAATTTTTTTGACCTACCACATTTTTTTTTCTTAAAATTTATTAAAAATTAAATAATAAAAAAAAAAAAAACGAAAATAGGGTAAATGCACCAATTATTGACCGATTAAGGTTTTCTTTTTCTGTACTAAGCTATAAAAAATCTATTAACCTACTAAAAACAATTTGTAATGGATTTTATTACAGTTAAATACTTAATTAATAATAATTAATAACTATTTATAATAAAAATTAACAAAATTATATTAATTTTGTTATTTGAATCTTGAAATACTAAAATCACCAATTATTGACCGAAGAAACCCAATTAATGACCGACCGTTCTCCAATTAATTGACCGCTAAAATAATTTTAAGTAATTTTGTAACAAAATAAAATTTAATAATCAAAAAAGATTTTAAGTATTATTTTAATTATAAATATACATTTTATAATGATTATTTTTATATTTACAAAATATTGAATGACTAAAGTACTTTAAACACTTGACAGATTTAATTTTGAAGTTAAGAAGTTAGTATTATAAATATACGGTGATTAATTGGATTGTGATAAAATCAGAGGGTCTAATAAATGACCGAATGAATTTTTTACTGGGTAAAGGGCTTTCTGACGGATCGAATAGTTGACCGGTCTTAAAATAATATTAAAACTTATAATTTAACTTTATTTTTTCAAGAAAGTTGGAATCTGATCTTTAATTAACATAATAAAACTAAAATATTTTATATTATGCCGATAAATATCACTAAATTAATGATGAAATACGCTAGTTATTTTGGTTCTGTAACAGTTCAACCGCGGACATTTCAACCGCGACAGTTCAACCACGACATTTCAACCGACGACTTTTCAACCGAAGGACAATTCAACCGATGACAGTTTAACTGCAGTTTTCCTGATAAATTGATCACAAAATCCATGATAATAGGGCACAATAATCATTTTTTTATTTTTGAAATACTGCGAAAAAAACTTTATAATTGTGATTATTAGTATTATTATTATTACATATCTTGAAATGCAACAAAAACTACATTTCTAACCGTTTTTTATATATTTAAAAACGAAATAACGAATATACAGTAATGTTAGATGACGATTAATTTAAATAATATCATGATAAATTACAACGACAAAACAGACGCAATATCATGAAGATACTTCAATTTATTTGTAGATTTATAGTCAGCAACGATATTATGAACACAAACGCGGGTAATTGTGTTGCGCCCTTTTAACATGGTTTTTGTGTGTATTTATTCGACATTAGACCAACACAAATGCGGGTAATCGTGTTGCGCCTTTTTAACATGGTTTTTGTGTGTTTACTCAGTAATAGGCCATTACAAACGCAGGTAATCATGTTGCGCCCTTTTAACATGGTTTTTATGTGTGTTTATTCGACATTAAACCAACACAGAAGCTTGTTACCGTGTTAGGCCCATTTATCATGGATTTTGTCATCAATTTATCAGAAAAACTGCAGTTAAACTGTCATCGGTTGAATTGTCTTGCGGTTGAATTGTCCTTCGGTTGGAAAGTCGTCGGTTGAAATGTCGCCGGTTGACTAGTCGCGGCACCAGTTATTTTTGACCGCTTTATGGCTGGTTGCGTTGTAAACAAACTCAGAATATTTTTTTAAAGCTATAATCACTGCGCGATTAATTGCGTAATTTTTTATTATGATGATTAAATGCCATATATTGTTATTTTAATACTTTAAGAAAAAAAAAACCCTTGTAAAATATTAATTAATTAACTTTTTTATACATCGGTTAAATAATTGGTGACCGGTCAACAACTGGTGCATTTACCCTATTAACTTTTCAATAAAAAAAAATTTGTTATAAAAAAAACCGAAATTTACTGATTTTTTCTTCAATCATTGTCTTGGATTATGGGTACACCATAAATCAGAATAATTTTTTTAAAAATTCAAGAATGTTAATTTTTTGATTTTTGATATATTTTGGAAAGTTTTTAAAAATATTTCTACTTTTTATTTTAAAAGAGCGTATAATTAGAATGCGCTCCTTTAACTACACCGTTTTTTATTTAATTTTTAGGCTTTAGATAAGAATTTTAGAGAACTGCTCAGAAAACAAAAATTTACAAGCCCTTTTAGCTTTAGGTCATAAAATTTTTAAATTCCTAAAACTAAAAGGGGGCATAATTAAAGACATACGCCTTTTCAGCTTTGGGAAATGTTTGATTTTAATACGTAAAATATGACTACCAGTCGATTTGCGATGGAAAAATAATTATGTGCCTTTTTACCTTTTGGTACGCGACATTATAAAATAATTTATTTATTTTAAGAAATAAAACAATCATAATTACTGTTTGCTTTGGTGGAAGACAGGGTTTAACAGCTGGCTTTACATTTCCATCTAGAACAGAAAATGACAAATCACTCTCAAAAATCAAACCAAAAGCACAATGAAATAAATGATAAGTCAATGAAAATATTTACATGTAGAATCGTTAGATTGTGATGAACTCGGACTAATAATCGGTGAAGATGTTTTAATATGACTATCATTACCTTCATTCAAGCTCCCCCGACTCCCCGAGGGTACCTCTCCGTCTTTCAAAATCGGCGAAGGCAAATCCGTGGGGTCTGCAATCCAAGTGTTCTCCATGATTTTCCTCTCCTTGAAGTCTTTGTCCTAAAACAAACCCTCAAATTACACCAATTTCTCGATCAAAAACTCCTGACTCCTTTAAAATACTCACATCGGAGTCAACAGACAAGCAATCATCAAGATCCGGAGCCGAGGCGATGCTCTGCGTGCTCTCAATACTTTCCGTGGATCCTTGAGCAAACTTATACTTGCTTTTCTTATCAAGCCCATCATCCTCTGTGCTTCCAGTCCTGGGATTCCTAAAGCCATACAATCCGGACCTTGGCTTGCTATCACTCGGCACCAATTTCAGCCCGCTGTTCAAATTAGGGTTAGATTTCTGCAAGCTCTGCGGCAGTCGAGAAAAACTTTTCTTTCCCACACCAGCAGCTTTGGCTTCACCCGATTTCTTGTTTCCAAACCTGTCTGCTAAGTTTTCCAGGGACCTGGTGTCCTGCATATTGAACCCAAACGTCTTTCTTAGCAACATCTTGCTCGGTACTGGCTTCCGGTACGTCTGATAACGATTTTTCATCACATTAGCATCCTCTTCATTCTCATTATTGTAAGTTTCATTCAACACTTTGTTATTCTCAGCAACAAAGGTTGAATTAAGGCACTTCTGATTGTCAACAGTTAGCGGCTCTTTAAATTCATTCGAAGGCAACGACTCGTCATCGACAGTGAACGTTGAGTTCAAATCATCCGACAATTGAATTGTCGTATTAATCTTTATATCACACTCTTTGTTCCCTAAATTCTGATCTATCTTTAAATTTTCTTCCTCAACCTCAACTCCCAAAATTTCTTCACTACAGTTTACTATTTTTGAGCACTTGTTCAATTGCAAGTTCAATTTTTTACTAGAATACGTTTTATTCTCAACACTCAAATCAGCAGTATCTTCTCGACAGATAACGTAGCTCAGATGATTCGCTTCGTTGTTATCAAACGTACGGTTTATCAGAAAAGATTCATTATTCAGCGCTGCGTATAATTCATCAGCATTAAATGTCGCGTCTATTTTCTTTTTGGGCGCCGAATTGTTCACTGTGATTGTGTTATTAAGCGAAGAATAATTCGGATTCTCTATGCACGACCCGTCTGATAAATCCCGTGCAAATGGATTGTTAATATCCATAGTATCGCTGAATAAACTTGTCTGCATCATGGAAGTGGTCAAAATCTGCGAATCATCCATTTTAGGGCCGTTTTCTAGTGATTCTAGTCGTCGCGCTTCGGCTGACGTCCCGACTACAACTGCGGAATCTTCTTCTCCCACTTCGTCGCTTTCAACCCCTACTCCGCGGCTTTTTACCCCCGTTCCGGCGCTTCTTATCCCTACTCCTGCTCCAAAACAAGACAGAGACGAATGCGTGGATCCAACTAACTCAGAATCTTCTATCATTAACAAAGAATCAGTGAGACTCGGCGGTTGCTTGTTGTTTATTAATAATGACTCGTTTAACTCTGGTGCGTCCATATTGATGAACGAGTCGACGCCATTTTGTTGAGACATGTTGAGCAAGGTTTCGAGACTTGTTTGTCCGAAGTTTGATCCATTGTAGGCCGATGAGCTTGATCTTAAGACCGAAGGCACTACGCTGATACGCTCGGTGAAGTCGAAGTTCAACCTTGAACTCGCAAGTTGCGGAACGTGAGGCGTCGATGTTATCAAATGACTACCTCGGGGTTTTATTGGACTGTTTTCTAGAGACGCTGCTACTTCGGGAATCGAGTCGATGCTCAGTCGCGAATATCGCTTCTTTGCACGGGTCCATGTCCGTGTGTCGATTAGTCTTTTCGTGTCTTGGTCCTTCAACCACGAAATTAGGTTTGATATGCCTTTTGCTTCTGATATGTCCAGGAAACTAAAATAGTAAATAAATAAGTATTAATTTTAAATTTTTGTAAATTTTAATTAGTAATTTTTTTTACAATTTATAAATAAATTGTTTTGAAGTGTGAGAGTTGAAATTTGTGTGAAATAAATAATTAAATTTGAATAATAGGAATAATAATCTATGTGCAGAGTTGTTGGCGACAAGACAAAGGTTCAAGCCTACGTTATGCTAAAAATTTTTAATTAATCAGAGAATTATTTTTATGAATAAAAATAGATAAACAACTTCAACTAAAATTTAAAAAGTGAATCATTGTTAGAAAATTAAATTTTTTTTTATTGATTTTATCGTTTCAGATTCGAGTAGATTTTAAAATTTTATGACAAGTAAACGAACTGAATAATTAAAAAAAAAAAAATACAAATTTTGAATAATCTTAAGTGTACGCAGAAAGAAAAATTTTTTGACTGGAGAACGAAATTCTTGACTCAAGAAAATTTTCAGTTGCCTGAAGGAAGACCGAAGTCATATTGGCTGAAATAAAAATTTTTATTGAAATTCTATTCTCGGTGAAAGTAATTTTTTCTTAATTCAAATTATCTTAAATACTTGATACAATAAATTTTTATATTTGATCAAGATTTTTAGATACTTTAGGGAAGCAGCGCCCCCTACTTCAGCTGAGAAAAAAATTTTCTCGCCTTGAGAAAATTTTTCTCTTGAATATTTGATACTCATTTTATATTATTTTAGCGTGAAATTATACATACTGAATGAAAAAAAAAGATTCAATATTACTTGATCTTCTCATTTGACATGTTAGTCAATAAAAATATTAATGAAAATTTAGTATCGAGATATTTAAATTTTTGGAGCAAGAGGCTGAATTTTCTCAAAACAAAAAGATTTTTTTGGCTCAAATAAATTTTCTTGGATCAAGATACGTATTTCTTAAAGCAAGGGAATTAATTTTGTTGGAATAAGTAAAATTTCTTGTATCAAAAAAAAATTTTTTTTTCGCTCAAGAAAATAATTAGGAAGAAAAATATTTTCTTGGCTCAAGTGAACCTTTTTTCTGTGTATAAAAAAAAATAATGAGAAAGATAAACTTTGTGGAAAAAAAAAATTGTAAATATATAAGAAAATAAATCAAACATTAAAAAATTTGGAAGAAGAAAATTAAGTGAATCGAATTAATGAGTTACTTTGAGAAAAGTTAACAATAAAAATCATCTTATCGATAAATTTCTAAGAATTTGAAATTTAATTACGAAGTTACAGAAATACCACGAGAACTTTATCAAAAATTTCCTAAGAGAACCTTTATGTTGAAATATTTCAAGAGTATTTAATACTAAAAGTACCTTTTTGACATATGACAAAGTTAAAATTATATTTAATGATTCTTTATTATAAAATATGAAAAATTTTTTATACTAAAATCAGGTAGCTAAAAAATTTATACTGATTGTATTTTAAAATTTCAACAAGTTGATAAAAAAAAAAATTTATATTCTATTATTGATGGACTTTTTATTAATGAATAACTTATCATAAAACAAATATAATAATTTAAAAATATTTTTTCATGATAAATGCGTTTAGACTATTCATTAATTTTCATCAGCTTAATTTTCTAAAATTTGCTTGCTATTTATTTATTAAATATCTAAGATAATATTAGATTCTTGTTTTTCTATCTTTTCTTAATTATTGCAGTTTAGAAAAAAAAATGCTAGTATTATAACACTGAAGCTGACTGAATTTTAGAGCAATGAAATTAATATGAAATAAGAATTTAATAAAAAAAATTCTCCATGTGAAAATTAAAAAAAAAATAAATAGTGAAAATTTTTGGAAGTAATTTTTTTGTTGTACTTGATTTGTTATAAAATTGAAAAAAATTGACAGTTGTTAGCTAACTTCAGTATCAATTAATAGAATTTACATTTTTTGAAATTGTACGATATGTTTATTTTAATTTTTAAATTATTTTTCCTATTATGTTTGTACTTAATTTGTTAAAACAGAAAGGATTTTTTTACTAAAAAAATTACGATGATAAAAATTTTAAAACGTGATTTTTTTAAAACAAATATTTATTAATATCTTTATAAACTTTTTTCAACTCATGACAAAATGTAATTAGCAGAAATCTGACAGTAGGATTTTTGTTGACAAAATTATTACATAAAAATTAAAATAAACATTTCTGATCTTGAAGATTAAAAAAACTCCAAGTGCAATTTTTTAAAGATATTTTTTTTTGTTATAGTTTAATCAATGAAAAAAATTTAAACGCCCGCTGATTTCAATAAAAAAACCATTTGTCATCTGCCTGAAATAAAAATTGATATTTAAAATTTTTTATCACTAAATAATAATAATGATACAAAAATGTTTGAAATAATTGAACAGCACCACTGTAATTCTAAAAATAATAACAATAAAAAAACCGTTACTTTGAGGTTAAACCTGGAACTTAAAAAAAAGTGGAATAATAAAATTCGTAATAAAAAAATTTATTAAAATAATTGAGTGAAAAACTTACCAAGTTTCTTGACAATTAAAGTCTAAGCTTGAAACATCAATAATATCACAATAAATATTATCATAAATAATATTATTATCGCCATCTTGATAAAAATCACGTAATTGTGACATATTTTACCTTTTTTTAGAACTAATATATATTTTTAATACAATATAATACTTATTAATTAGTTGTTACTGATAATGTCAACAATTTTCATAAATTTTACTCATTTTAAATAACTTATACTACAACTTAACAATACATTGTTGTAGAGTTTTGTACATAAACTTTTCACGAGTCAACTGAAACTTAAACTTGATAAAAAAATATAATAAAAATAGTGAGACATAACCTTAAATATAACTTTGTGAGTAACTTATGCATATTATGTATTAAATATACATACACAATGTAATGTATAAAATGTATGAGGTACGTACATAAGTATATATATATATATATGTGTGTAAGCACGTTAAAATTTTTTGTACATATATAGGTATGCGTATTGAAATTAAAAAAATAAATTTTTAAGTAGTTTTGTTGTTTATTATTTAAATTAAAAATGCCCGCGAAATTTGAACTAAACAAAAATTTATTATCGATTTTATTGATAAGTAAAGTTTTAATTTGTTTTCACTTGCGATAATTAGTAGCGGTTATTAAAATGAAAGAATTTTAGACGTTGCTAGACTGAAATTCCAATGAGTATATTAATAATTAATTTGTTTTGTTGTTTCAGAGAACATATAAGGTGATGGTTCAACAGACGGCCATATTTCGAGACAGAAAATCCTAAGTTGGATTAGGAGAGCATGAAATGGAACAAGCGGACTTGGAACTTAGAAGCGCGGGAAAAAGGCTTCAATGCGCATGACTGAAATTTTATTTAAATTGTGAAAAATTTATCATACAGCGCAAAATAAAATTAACAAAATTATTTGCAGTTAAAATAATGAAAATTATTTGGAAAATTGCGATTTATAATGAGAATAAAATTATTCTCATTATTGTTGAACATATCTAGAATTAAGATTGTTTAATTTTTTTAATATTTGTATTATTTAGTTTTCTGACTGAAAAATTTGTGTTTTTTGAATGTAATTAGTCATCAGTTTATTAATTATTTATAATTTTTAAATTTAATCATTGACAGCCTGATAAAATCAACTGAGACACCCATCACAATCAAAAGTCATTAATTTGCTTGACAACATCAAATATATTTATTTAATATTTTTAATATTATTAAATCTTTAAAATAAAAATTAAAAATTACGGAACTGTCTAAACTTCTTGCCATTGCAATATTATTTTATAATTAATAGCCATTAAATTGATTTTAAAAATATAACATTATTGATTTTTAATACTTGATTTATCAAGAAAAAAAAATAATAAATTAAAACGATATTTTTAACAAAGTGTTTGTCAAACTAAATAGTCAAGGTTGTTGTTGTTCAAAAAATGTTTCAACCCGAGTGAATTTCGTTGTTTTTTATTACTAACGAATATTTAATATTGCACGACTCATGATGCGAAGCATCAGAGAGTGCTTTACGATCGAAAAATTTCTCACAACTGTTAAATTTTTTTTTTCAATTCTTTGAATCTCAAAAATTATATAAAAAAAGTACTATTGTTATTAATATTCGACAGTTTGTGTACGCACACGATATCAGTTTTGAACATTTAATTTCTAATAACTTTAATAATGACTAAACTACAAGAATAATGTGAGAAAGTTAGATAGAAAATTTGGTTGTTATTAAATTATTGCCTAGGAACAAAATGCTAATTTATTATGCATTTACTTCAAAAGTTGTTAAATCCATCATTTACTATATATCATTGGAAACTTTTAGTCTGCATCATGTGCTATTGTTATTGATTAGTAGTTGATAATAAACCATATGGTCTTTTCCAGATATTTTTTATTGAATTTTTTTTTATTCAAAGCTATAACTTTTGTACTCAGCAATGTTTAAGACATGCATTTTTCCACTGACGTTTTAGTTTGCAAATATGGATGAAACAATAATCATAAGATCAACTGCAGCTTAGTCCACTAAGATTAGTAATATATGCTTTCTACGAGACGAATCTGGGGCTTTTTCATCCAAAAGTTGATAGAGGATAAAAAGTTTGGAGCAAAACACCGGCTTTGAGTATGATTACACTAATCGTTATATAGTCTATGAGATTTTTAGCTGTTGATTATAGCATTACGTGGTAAGTAAAGTCCGATTAGTTGCTTGGATTTGGGCATTGAAAATCTTGAATTGCATCAGATTAACATGATCACCCAGGAGGTTTTAATGACAATAAATGATACGAGTCTTTACTTTTATTTATTTTAATTTCCTATTCACATATGTGCAGGTACCAGGAACTCATACACCTGCAGAAGTAATGATCTATCATGCTCTTGTCTAATTGCTGTCAAAACAATAGAACTAAGAAACTTTTTAAAAGACTGATTGATTGATTTTATTCGCTATGTATAAGGAAAAGTATTGCTACGGAGATAAATGATATTCTTGTTAGAGGAAATTACCTCTAAAAAATATTTTTTACCAATCAATATTCAATTTTTATAACTCAATATGTTTTTTTAATCCTTTAAAATTTTCAAAAAAAAATTTGATTTTACAAATCTCTAAGTACGTTTTTTATGATTTTTAAATTAGTATCAACAATTTTTTTATTTTTATCCCATAAAAAAAAAATAAAGATTTCACTCACCTGAGTTTTTTTTATTACTTTTATATGTTATATCCGGCATGCCGTCTATAATACAGGGCCTCCCATTCCAACCGAAAAGTGCAACGCTTGCATATTTAGGGAACATCAACGGGGACTGCGCGACAACTTACTCGTGGCCCGAAGAATACACATTACCGCGCATTGTCACCTCATCAAAGGAACTAATTGTTTAATTAGTAGCCCCACTTAATGAATCGCAACCGAGGTGATAAAAGACGCGAACACCATAATTCGACAGCTTATTTACCAGGTAACAGTTCTGTCTTAAAGCCCGGGTGAGTCCTAGACCCCGTTACGTGTAAGTCGACTTCAATTATTAAATTAATTAGTCACCTTTTCCCTAATTATTCATTTCGATTCCTTAACGGTATTTCTGAGTTCTGTGATTGTGATTCTTCGAGCCACGATTCGTTTTGACGATAATCGAGATTCTCGCAGTTTCAGTGACCTGGTCCCACTCTCAAATTATTTTCTTCTTCTGTCAATTTATAATCGGCGAACTTTTGTTTGCCGGAGTCGTTACTCCGGTTACGAACTCATATAAACTTTCAACTTGTTTTATATTGTTATTAGTTAATAAATGAATAGTGTAAGTTAAGACGTGTTTGCCCATAGGGCCATTTGATTGAATATAAACCTAAAAACTCGAATCGAAGTGTTCCATCATTTATAAATTAAGAAGTTATCCAACCTTCGTCCTTCAACCTTCAATCTCCAGTCAGCAGGAGGAAGCGAGAAGCCAAGCAGCGGAATTCAAAGGTACGAGTCCAATCGAAGGCCGAATCATCGTTGGAATTAGGATTCGCAATAGTAAGTGGAGGATATTTTATTATTTCCGAGGTCGATTGTCTTATTCAAGGGGCCCTCTCCAGGGTTTTCACCTTCACAAACCCATAAAATATAAACTTAACGATTCTTTCGTTAGGGAAATTCATCTGTTATCCGAACCTCAGTTAATCCAGCTACCGCATTTTTAGATCTTGTTTTTCGGACATAACATGTATAATCATATATGAATAAGATGCTTCTTGAAGTGAATTTTACCTTGGAGACATGGTTAGGATTTCATTTCTTTAATTAACATATTTAAAATTACGATTGTCCAATTTTTTGTTTCACATCATATTATTAATTAATCTTTTGAGAAACCAAATTCATGATTTTGCACGCCTCATAAGCGAAGCGTTGAGGTTGTGCTCTACTCTCGACATTTCAAAAAAAGCAGTTTTCTCGAAACTGAAATTAATTTTTTGTTATTTATATCGCACTTACAGGTTAATATGAGTACACTTATATCAAGTCGAATAATTTGTCAGGCACATAAAATATATTTCAATAACAATTTTTTTGTTTAACATAATAAATAATAACATTAAACATAATCTTTTCTAGACGTCCGTGTATGGATGAGTGTATGTGGCAGGGAAATTGGTCGAAAAAATGATCGTACCGAAATAATTTTTTTTTTA